CGTCGGCCATGGCTCCGTCGGCCATGGCCCCTTCGGCCACAAAGGGCTCCCAGAACCGGACTTCACACTGAATTATTTTTACATATTTTGTACTCAGCCCAATAGTGGCCCAATTATAAATGGGCCTCCCAAGCCCAAGACTTGGGAGCCCAGTCCTAATTTCCTCTATAAATACTCCCCTTGGGAGTAGTTTAAGGGGGTTCACAAATCATTTATTGCAAAGAGTTATTACACTTCTCTCTCTAGATCTCACTTCTCTCTAGGAGTTAATACTCCATCAGTATTTTTAAAGTCGATTAAGTACATTTGCTCTGTTAAAACGTTAAAATAACTGACATGACCAAACTATCAGTTTGTAATATATCGTTGCATTCCAAGTCATCAAATAATTAATCTATAAACTCTAATTTTCTCGAGTTCACTCATTTCCACCTTCACTCTTCATTTTATATTTCTCACATTTGCTCTTCCTTCTGTCGCTACTCATCTTATATTTCTCTCTTCTGCTCTCCAAGGGCGGAGCCAGGGCACTGGGCTCGACTGAAGCAGTACAAAGAATGTTTTTGTAAAAAACACAAAGTTTTACTTTAAAATTAAAGCATTTTTTAAATTTGAGGTGGGTCAGGACTGAGGTTGGCCCCCTCTAGCTCCACCCATGTTGCTCTCCTTCTCTTTCGTTTCTCTCCCTGCAATCTCGCCAGCTTCTTCTTTTATTTGCTATCGGTTCATCGTTATTATAGCAAGAGAAGAAGAAAATAAAAATAGAGCAAAAAGAAGAAACCGACGAGATAGCAGGGAGAACAAACGGGATAAATATAAGATGTAGAGCGGAAAGAAGGGAGAACAAATGAGAAAAATATAAGATGAAGAGTGAAGATTAAAATGAGTGGACTGGAGGAAAATTGAATTTAGAGATTAATTATTTGATGATTTGGACTGCAACTGTATCATACAAACAGATAGTTTGGCTAGATCGGCTATTTTAACGTTCTAACAGAGCAAATGTACTTGATTGACTATAAAAATACAAGTTCATGTACTTTATAATTTCAAATGCAAGATGAAGTACTACTTACTCCCGTCGATACAACTTCATATATCATTTGTCCATTTTCTCATACTCTTAGTGTATATCCAGGTTTTTGAAGGTTAGGAGGTCATTTTTATTTATAAATTCACTAAACTATGACATTGAGGTCTTACTATTATGATTGTATATAAATCACCATGACATTGAGGTCATACTATTATATCAATTTGTTTTTCATTTTACAAAATTAACTAATGGAAGCACTATTTTTTAAATGCAAGGAGTGAAAGCCCCTAAGGTCCGTGAGGATGGATTGTTTTTGGCGGACATAAGTTCCCACCTTCTAGCTTTTGTACTATTTAAAAAGTTTTTAAAAGCTTCTGGTTGTATGTTTGGCACGCCAAATTTTAAGAGTTTTTATAAAAATAAAAGATCTTTTTTAAGATGCTACAGTGAATAGCATCTCAGATAAGTCCGTATACCAAACAGAGCTAAATCAAACAGTCAATTTTTTACCAAACAACTATTGCCTTTTCTTTTTAAGATCTTTTCAGTCCATAAAAACTAACAGTTACTAAAAAACTCATAAAAGTATCTTTTCAGCTAGTTGTGCCAAACATACCATAAATAAATGCAGAGTATTTTTAATATATATTTCACTTAAGGCTAAACCGTTGCCCAGATAATCAACCATAAAAATACCATTGCCCAGAGTCAAAAGGCTAAAATCCAACTTTATTCTAAGATGAGCCCGAATGAATCCTAACAAGGGTTTAAATACTCATCTACTAATTCACAAACTAGGAAACAAAATCCTAGAAATCCTAATCAACTCCAACGAGGAAACAAAATAATAGAGATCCTAATCAACTTCAAATCAAATAGGAAACAAATAATAGAAATCCTAATTAACTCCTAATAGGAAACAAATAATAGAAATCCTAATTAACTCCAAATAGGAAACAAATCAGGAAAATTAAAAATAATAAATATTAATTAAGCAGCCCTCAACCAGCCCACGAAGGTGGACTCTAGCCCGTTCCCACCTGCAGTAAACCGACAGCCCCTTCGGTCTCGGACCCTCCTCTTCCACACAGCCCCATGCTCTCCCTGCTCTATATCACCGGCGTCAAAAGATGGACACATCATTGCTGCTATCCCTGCCGAATTTCCTTACCCGGTTGTTATCTCCATCCGTGGGGTCACGGCCGCCGAAAGGACACCCCCTATAATGCCTGGAAACGTGGAAAGGCCAGCGTTTCCCGTATCGGAAACGTACTCACGTTTCCGAACTCGAGAAACGTCCAAAACGCGTGTCAGGCCCGTTTCTTAATTTTCAAAAGTTTGGAAACCCGTTTCCCCCAAAAACAGAGTTTCGCCAAAAAAGAAAAATCAAAGAAATTAGGAATCTGCGGACTTCTTCTTCAGTGATTGGCTATCTTCAGCGAAGATCCTATTAGTATATGCGCTCTTCGTCTTCAGCAGGTCAAGGAAAGTCACAATCGTTTTTCCTTCTGCTATGGAGATTGTGTTATCTGCCGTCTCAAGCTGTCCGGCTCTGTTTGTACTTGAGTCTGGTTTGGTTTCTCGACAGCACAATTCTCCCTTGAGTTGGTGTGCGCGATTTGGGGTTGACATTAAACGTACGAGTAGTCTGAATAATGTTGTAGACTTGGCGTAGTAGGTGAACTTGATGATTTTCAGCTGTCCACTAAGTGATTATGAAATTTATTAAACATTTTTCATTCATTTAAACATATAAATGTGTATGATATACAGAGTATAGGAGTAGGGCAGTAGTGGAGTACTATAGTATTAGTTGCTACTTTAATTTACATATATGTGTGTGTATATAAATAAATATATATATATACATACACACACACACACATATAAATATATATATATAATATTTATAAAATAACCCCTATATTTTTAATATTTGCCCATTTCCCCGCATTTCGTGTTCTGTATTTTTGATAAATGGCGTTTCCAACGTTTCCCGTTTCCCGTTTCCCGTTTCCCGTTTCTCGTTTCCCGTTTCCATGCTACTTAGGACACCCCACATCGAGATGTTGGCGATGATCTATCAACAAAAACAGAGAACCCCAACCCAGCTCTAGTAATGCCATACTGCCCTCCACCGGAAGCCTCTAGTGCGCTATCAATCGATCAACGACCAAATATATTTGGATGCGGATTTGCAATCGGCAGAGGAAATAGAGATGAAAATCGGGCAGTGGATCGACACCTTTCTCATCACTATTCTCACTAGTAATTCACTTTTTTAACCTTTGGTTATAACAGCTTGAACGGGTACTTTATTGCGTTACCCAATGCTTTTCAACAAAATAACAACTCTATAGCCGGTAAAAAACCCCAACACACTGACAGCCAAACAAACCCGTCCATTTTGGGTTGGACTGATTTTCTATCCATGATTGTGACATTTTTTAGCGGGAAAATTCAGCTTATTTCCACATCTTTTTATATATAGATAGATAAACCTACATGCACACCAAACTTATGGTAGTTTGGCAGTAACAATGAGAAAAAGGGAAAAGATCAATGTTTCTCACATACAACTTAGGGGGTGTATTGTATTAGGAATTAGTGGCAAAATTTTAAAAGTCCATGGATTTTAAAAGTTTAGGTGTATTCAATGTGGACTTTTAAAAGTCTACAAAAGTCTAGGTGTATTCAATGTAGATTTTTAAAAGTCTATAAAAATCCAGACATATTCAAAGTTTCGTTCATTCTTATGGATTTCTAAAATCATGGATTCTCGTGGACTTTTAACTCATTTTTAGTACATTAATTCTCTTCGACTGTCTCTTCTCCTCACTAAAGATTTCTGTGGACTTTTCTTATATCGGTTCTTCATCCCGTCCCCCAACCCCACCCCCCAACTCTCCTTTTCTTTAGCCAAGACACCCCTTCTCCTTCGATCTTTCTTCTTCTTCAACCCAGCTCGCCCCACCCCTCTCCTTCCGTTCTTTTTCTTCTTCAGCTTGCCCCACCCCCTCGATTCGTTAATCTCATACTGGTTTGATTATAGAAGTTTCTAGAAGAACTGGTATAAGAATTGATAATATTACATCAGTGCAATTCTGGTACGTCGTCACCTAACCATTAAGAAAATAAATATTTTAACTATTACTTTCTTTCACCGTTAAATCGCTAACACATAAAAATATAATTTCAAATTAATAAATATATAACCGTAAATAAGTACACAAAATTTTTCAAGATAGAAATGAAAAGAAAACAATTATTAAGAAGAAAAACTCGATTTCAACTATGCTTGTACCACATGTAGCAATGAGTGTACCGGTTGTGTAACGATTAATGTTCTTACTCTTTAATAAAATGACCAAAATTCTTGAGCATTCTTGAAACTTTGAATTTTTTTAATAAAAATAAATTTGAATTCTTATGCTTCATTTATTCTTGTAGAACTTTGTGTTGCTATATGAATTACATTTATTTATTTATTTATTTATTTATTATTTATTAATTAATTTATTTGTTTGTTTGTTTCTTATCATACTCTGTATTATACAGAGGAAATTACTCAGGGTAGGACTAAAACATACGGAGTAACATTTTTCTTAAAGTATGATCATATGTTTATTTTTCTTAAATAGGACTAAATATTACATATTCACCCTAATTTAATTAATTAATTAATATAAGTAATTGTCCCTAATTCCCTTGCATAACAAAATCGACTTTGTTGGTGGCGGATCAGTCCGATGACGACATCGGGGAACTCAAGTGACGAAGGCGGACGGGCAGATCGGTAGCGCCGGTCTAGATGAAAATTTCGATGACCAGTAATGGTGGTCCACATTTAAAAGTCTATGGACTTTTTGAAAGTCAATAAACTTATCCATGAATTTAAAAGTCCATAGAATTCATTCATGAAAAAGTCTATGGATTTAAAAGTCCAATGACTTTTTTAAAAGTACACGGATTAAAAAAAGTTCACCGCAATCCATATTCAATACATCCTAATAGTGATGAGCAGGTACCTAGCAGTCTAAGGTGTTGACTCAACCCATCTATCATCTCATATATCTTATCTGATTTAGGATGATCACTATCCATCACCTTGAATTCGTGAAACTTATCCATCAACTCGATTGTGCTCACACCAGACGGCTTTTCCCTGCCAATGTCCATTAGCAATCTCACATCTGACACCTCAGAGAACTTTCTGGAATCATCATCCATCCCTACTTCGTCTGCTAGATAATTGAGCACGTCTTGTGCAAACCGGACATCATTATGCATTCGGCATGCCCCAAGAAGGGAACCCCAGATTTTTATGTTCGGTTTGACCTGCATGTTGAGAGCAACGGTGAAAGCTTCTTTGAGATGCCCGCCACGCCCTAAGAGATCAATCAAGCAACCGAAATGTTGTACTTCGGGTATAACCCCATAGTCGCTCTTCAATGAGTTGAAGATAGAAATGCCTTTACTTACAAATCCGGCATGACTGCACGCTGATAAAACAGCAACAAAGGTGACTTTATCCGGGACGAACCCTTCGTTTTTCATCTCAGAGAAAAGCTCAAGCGCCTTTCCTCCACGTCCATGCATGGCAAACCCATGAATCATGGAATTCCACGATCTCAAGTCTTTCATTCTCATGCTTTTAAACACAATGAACGACTTGTTCAAGCTTCCACACTTGGCGTACATATCAATCAGAGCATTGCAAACCAGAGTGTTAGAATTAAATGAAGACTTTTTTATGGTACGGTGAACTCTTTTACCCAAACCGAGCATACGGGTTTCTGCACATGCCGATAAGATACTGACAAATGTTCCGGCATCTAGACCTAGACCGGATTCATTCAATTGAGTGTACAACTCATTGGCTTCCTTCACAAGCCCCTTTTCAGTGTAGCCAGTTATGATGATTGTCCATGATACGACATTCTTTGAAGGCATTATATCAAACACTGCTCTAGCCATCTCAACATCTCCCGCTTTGCAATATCCAAAAATCATGGTTGACCAAGACACAACATCTCTTGTAGGAATTTTATCAAACAGCTCAAACGCCACATTCATTTGTCCGTTCTTCACATATCCGTCCAACATTGTGTTCCAACTCACTGTGTCTCTCTCAGGCATTAAGTCGAACATTCTCTGGGCTTCAGTCAAGTCCCCATCTTTCAACAGTCCGCAGATCATAGAATTCCATGACACGACATCTCTATGGTCCATCGCCAAAAAAACCGTCCCGGCAGAAGAAACATCACACTTTGAGTACGCGTCAATCAAGGAATTACAGACAATGATGTCCGAATTAAACCCTGTTTTCTCAACAAGAGTATGGATCATTCTCAACGTATTCAGTCTAGAATCTTCTGAGCAAAGCTTCAAGAGATGAGAGTAAGTGAAAGTGTCCGGAAAAACGCCACAATATTGCATCTGCAAGAAGACGGAAAAGGCATGTGACTGATGTGAGGGTTGGGAGTTGAGGATATGGGCTTTGATTAGAGCGTTGTACAATTCCATATTGGGTTCCTGCACTTGAGAGAATATATTGACGGGCAACGCGATTTGGCGGCAGACGGAGAAGGCGGCGATGAGCTTGGTCGCGACAAAAGGGTCTCGGTGAAGATTGGATTTGTAGACGAGCGCATGAAATTGCTTCAAGTGATTAACGTCAGTGCATTTGTGGAGTTCAAAGAGTTTTAGTTCGAAGAGCCTTCGTTTGGATACCCAGGTGGGTGATCGGACTGGTGCCGGCATCGGCATCCTATAACTGCTGCGGGGGGAAATCTGCATTTATTACTCTATTTCATCCTTGAGCTTAAACTTTCATTGTTAAATGTACAAAAAATTGTTGTGCGAAAAAGAAGGGAAATTGACCTAATAGAAGTAAGGTTTAGAATTTCAAAACACCACTGTTATGTTTTTTTCTTCACAGGGTTGTTATTGACATGTATGTAATATATTTTCATTAATTACAATAAATACTGTCATGTCAAGTACTTTGTACTACAACTGTTTGGCAATCACGTCTACAAGATGATAGTAAATATTGTCATGTTAGTTCTATTTCGAGAATAAAAACATAATAGTCCTATTTTGGAATTTCAAACTCCAATTACTCCTATTTTGGGAAATCTCCCAAAATACAATTCTCATTGCAAAATGAAAAAAATTGTCTCTTTTGCGTAAAATGCTCCAATTAGCTATGTACACGAACCATGAAAGATCTTTAGATTATCTCTCATATTTTCAAGAGGACACAAATATTAAGTGAAACAAAAAAAGCGATTAACTTCCCTCCAAAATGATTAATATATTCTTTAATTAATTCAAAGTTTTTATTATTCATAACCAATCTCTGCTTCAGCCTCATTTCACACCTATCCACTCGTTGCTGAAAAAACGTAATCCGAAATCCCACCTGAAAAGTTCCCACAAAATTACGGGATCCTTTTTTTCCATTTTTTCATTTTTTTTGAAATATGTTGAAAAAGGTGAATAACTTTTATATGGCAATCACAATGACACATGTCATTGTGACAATGACATCACAACAAAAGTAACATTGACAATGATACTGTGTTTTTTCCAAATATATCGGGTGTGTTTGTCACTTAGCGATTAGCGGATAATAAATATGTTAGCTGATTTAATAGCGGATTGAGTGAGCGAGTTTGATTAGCGGAACAGGTTGACAGGTTTCAAAAAATTATTTGATGATTTAGATGTTTGACTAAAAAAATAGTAAAAAACGCCATATTTGAAAATACTAACTCAAAACTCTCTTATTTAAAACTTTTCATTTCAGCGGTTACTTTCTACACATTAGGATGGAATAACTATTTACCAAACTACATTTTCATTTTTTTTGGAGATTATCCCAGCTTTAACAACACAAATCAGAGCTGCCTATATTTTGGGATGAGATATACTACGTAGTTTCTTCCAAGCGCGCCACACCGTGGAGGCCTCACAATCGCAGACTCCACCCCTCATGGCAACGGCTATCTCTTCTATACTGTTTCCTCCTACCCGGCCAATTTCACCCCTAATTTCCTCCATACCTAGAATTTCGCCTCTGTGTTTCAGAAAACATAAGCTGTTTATTCGTGAATCCCCCCCACTACGAGCTCCAGTCACGGCTACACCGCCGTCGTGCACTACCTCCGACGCCACCTCGGTGGATGAATCGTTAGGCGTCGACGCTCTTCAGCGCTTCATCCAACTTAATACGGGAAACTGGACAGGCTCTTTCCATGTCTGAGTGATTTCCAAAATGCATTTAGTCTGGATCATAATTAGTAGCAATCTGGCTTGTAGCAATTTACGACCTTGATGTTGTTTTGGTGTGCTCCATTGATTTTTGCAGCAATTTGATAGTCACGGGAATTTACTGCACACTGTTAGCACGAAGCTTGCAGTGGATTCGTATGGGGAGGATGAACTCATCAGCTTAATTCAAACGTGTGTGAGCTTTATTATCCCAGATTAGACATTTTAAGTTCCATTTAATGTGTTATTCATGACACATAAGTATTACAGCTAATATTGCTTAAACATTGCTGGCTCCAACTATTAATTCTATATGCAAATTGCTGTCGCACTTTTGATTCAACATAAGTATTACATCTAATATTGCTTAAACATTACCGTACAATTGTTTTTTATGCATCACAAAATGTATCCTACAAAATTTACCACTCGTATATTTCAATATAATATACTTCGTATGTAGGGGAGGATCTACTTTAGGAAGTTTAATGTTTTCAAATTTTTATGTAATTTTTTATTTTCCATTTTTAATCCACCCAACTAATACTGAAGCCTAGTATAATTACTCTTCAAATTTCTATATCCGCCCCTGAATAGCTGTCTTTTATAAGAGACAATACACCAATCAACTGCATAATTCCATGCAACCCAATACTACTTCAAGTATATTTTAGAAATTCCCCAAAGTTGAACTTCATTTTCATAACAATTTGCCCCTAAAGCTAGGAAGACCAGATTTGGCTACAAAAGAGTATATTGGCATCAGAAGTTATAGACTTATAGTTATTAAACAATTCAATTTTTTTTATGTTGGAATGTGATGGATGGTTTACTAGTTTGTGAATTTGTGTTATGATTCTAAGTTTAGTTACAAGTTTTAATATTTTAAATGGGACTAGAATCTATTAATTACTTTATGGCTTACATGTAGTATGATATTTAAAGATTATTATTATATACGGAGTATGTATTTTATTTTACCTAATCCTTTATTCTTCTGCCATTTACCGCAACACTATCTGCTATATATATAGTGGTGTTTAGGCTTTCAGCCATAATACGCTATCCGCTATTGATAAAATTGATGTCCAAGCGGATTTGATTGTGTAATGGAATGTTGCTTTTAGGGATTAGCTGGTTTAAGTTAACAGATTTTTAGTTGGCGACATACTGACAGAATTGATCTTTTAGGTTATATATCAGACAGCCTCAATCTGCAACTTCAATATCAGGGGACAATTACGAAACAGAATGGTATGAGTACAAAATTAAAGAGACTAACCTGTTTACTGTGGACAAATATCAACAGGTAAGTGCCCTTGTAAAAGGATTCAGCCTTTTTTCTTTTCATTTTCATTTTCTTATCTTCAATTACAGCCGGAAGTAGTTTTCAGATTGGTTTTTTCCCAGAGGAGAAGGCATTTGCATTAAGGTATCAAACAGCTGGCATGTTAGAAACAATCTTAAGACAAGGAGTGTTAGGTGAAGATGATGTTGAAGAAGAGTCACCAAGGTAGATTATCTTCTCATGCCAATATTGAAATAACGTTTAATATGTAATTATTGCTTTACTCTAACTCTGTCTCCTTTTTTCAGAGATCTAAAGATCCCCTCTAAAAAGCCTTCTGTGGTGTGCGAAAGTTGTCTTTGTTCACTAGAGAAAGACATGCGGGTTAGAGCATTTCATATCATTGACCCAAAAGGTATCCTAGAAATGCTTCTAGTTTTCCTCGAAGAAAGAGGTGGTAAAGAGCTTATCCCTCCTACCTTGAACAATTCTAAGGTACTTCGCAATGAAAACTTCCACATCTTAACATCGTCTTGTTCACCCGAGCCTTCAACTATCACAGTTTTAAACAAGAGAAAATTTCCTAAATAGGACTAAAATAATGTTAAAGTTCATAGATAAGTCTATCATTGTTGTATTCCCAAAATAGGACTCATTCACTCCTATTTTGGGAAGTTTAAATCAACTTATACTTTTAATAGGACTAAATAAGACCTATTTGAGGAATAAAACGTATTTAGTCTTATATTTGAACATTGTGTATGTTTTGGTCCTTTATTAAGAAATTTCTATTTAAACAATTTATTTGGCTTAAGCATCTTTCTGCTCTCTCTCCATCTATAGACACACACATTTAGCATGACAATGGTGTCAAATGTATAGCCGGAATAAATGTTCGTTCAGATGATAATTATAATGGATAGATTGACAACAAATTGTTGATCTATTATGAATTTATGATCCATACAAATTTTACTCCGTATTAATTCAGGAATCTATTTATCAATTTATTTCCAATCCATCCTTTAGCATGTATTTAGACCATTATTTGAATTCTGAAATAGTTCATCAATCCTTGTATAATCCATTAAAATATCGTTAATTAGTTCCATTGTTCCAATCTGTTTATGATCCATTTATTAAGTTCTGTACAATCCATCCTTTAACATTTTTCTTACAGGTGGTGTCATCCAGTCCATTCATTATCTCATTACTACTATTCATGTGCAGGGGCAATGCACATGGTAATAAAATACATAAGCATACATGTAGTGTTCATAATAAAGAAAGGATGACACCCCATCCTTGAGGGCCCCCAACACCGACCGGACGGTACGTTGGGAGGATGTAAATTGGACTATAATCACAATCTGACAGATACAGAGTGGGGCTCTGTCCCCGGTACTTGTAGAGGCCCTATGCATTTTTTAGCATAGTAATCTTTTATCGCAGTTGTCGGGATTCGAACCCGGGACCTAACCCTTGTGGCACTCCCTGGCTACCAGTTGAGTTACTGATAGAGAGCAAAAAGATGATGGGGCGGGAACGGGCTTGGGCCCACTTCCGTGGGCCAGTTATGGGCTGGGTTATCCGTGGGCCGAGTTTTTAATTTAATTAGCTTCCATTATGTTAGTTCTTTTATTATTGCTATTTATTATATTAGAATTCCCTTAGGCTTTGTGCGCAAGTAATTCCTTTTCCCTTAGGCTTTGTGCGCAAGTCTGTTTCCCACTGGGATAGGCTACGTACAATTAATTAGCTTATTTAGTTTCCTACTGGAACTTGGATGTAGGTAGTATTATTTATACCTACGCAGGGCTATTCAATCGATCATCAATAAGATTATTCCGTAGATTATTTTGGGCAACGGTATACCCCATTGATTTTATTTTTCTGTTATACAACAGCTACGTCCACCGGTAGTGTTCATAATAAAGAAGTCATTAATATGTGAAGACTATAATGGTTCCCACGGAAATAATAGACTTTTAAATGTGTTCTAATGGATTAAAATAACGCAACTGGAAGGCTTTATACCTTTGTATGGAGCCAATGGATGTTGGACATATAAATTCTTTTGCCGCCTCTATTATAGGATGAAGCAAACAGGATTCTCTCACATCTTGGCAAATGGAAAGGTCACTCTATCACAAAGCGTACTGGTGTTTATGGAGCAACTTTGCAGGAAGCAGATACAATTGCTTTATTTGAAATGCATGAGGACGGACAACTAATTCAGGTCTAAATATCTCCTCCAGATTCATTAACACCTACTTCTTATCACATCTTTAGATTTCTAGTGCAGAATGTGCATTTTGTCACTTAAGAAGTTGTGTTTCATGTTAAAA